TAGCTCCTGGGTATCTTGTTTGCTGTAACAGTACTCCACTGTATCTGCTGCTTCCCCATGTTCACAGAACTTCAGGTGGCCTTCTAGCATCAGGATGCCCTCTCCTATTTCCCAGGAGTGTGCCCTCTCTGCTTCTCCTCAGTTAATCCTTCTCCATCCATTTAAATGTTTCCTCATGCTATTCTGCCATTTTGTTCTTTCCATAAGTATTTTGTTTTAAAATGTTTCATTATTTTACAATCATACATAGCATCCCAAACACATCATTAACAATATCAGATATTAATATTTTTCACAACATTGAAATGCTCGCAAACTGTGCCCCATAAAATCAAAATAACTATAAAATTTCCAAATCTAACAAAGTTAGTTGAGTCAATTTGATCCAGCATTAGAATTGGTACCTGAACCATTGAAATGTTGATGTTTAAGGCTATAAAAGAAAACCGAAATTGTTTTCTTCAAACAGATTTAAATATTCTGTGTGTCTTCCTGATGGATTTCTGTCTCCTCTTCCCTGGGTCACTGCCTTTACTGCAGGTCCTACAGTCCTTTTCTGGTTCCTCCTCGGCAGACTCCCTGCTGCTTACCAGGAGTTCCAGAAGCTGTCTGTTCCTCAGTTGCAAAAATTGTCTTTGTACTTCATATTTTGATCACATATAGGTATCCCTTCATGTTCTAGTTGGGAATGCTAGATTTTTTTTCCTCCAGACTCCCACCATATTCCTAAATTTGTTCTCATTGAGCTTCCTTCAAGTCTCATACTTGGTGAAGTCTTTATCTTTGTTTTTGTGCTCTCCCCACAATATCACTGTAAACCTAGGAATTCCCTCTTCTTCCAGAATGCCTCTCTGCGACTTCTCCAATGTGTCATCTTCAGGGTAGTCAGTATAGCTCAGGGAACCTGAAATAGTTTCAAGAGATTTCAGTGGGAATCTTACGGTTTCCCAGTATCCAGCCTAGGAATTTCGAAGAATATAATTTCTGCAGTCTCTAGTGTTAAAGGAAATCAATAAAGCCAGCTAAGAACAAAGGTGTGGAAAAAGTAACAAAGAATTCTCAGCCATTTTTTAAACGAGATAATATTGCATTATATGTTGTATTAAAAGAGCAATATTATGTGTACTGCGTTATAAGATCCAAGCACTTATGATAAATAATGACATTGGTAAGTCATTTTCCACTATAATAGTGATTCTCCGGATTTTAGGGAACAATATTGAAAATAAGGAAAGAGCATCGATTCTACATAAAATGCACATTCAATCAATAAAACACTCAAACTTATAAAGGACTTCCTACTTAGTCACCTTTTGATAACATGCTCACCATTTTTCTTACTCTCTTCCTTCCTTCCTACTTTCCTTTCTTAATTTTTTCTTATTTATTTTTTAACTAGTGAGACTATGATCTTCTTGAAAAAGTTTATATCTCATTTCATGTCCCTACTCACTGTCTTAGAGGTTGGCTGAGCTCTGCGTTAAATTCTCAATAAATGATTGTTGTTTTGAATTGGATTAATTCTGAATTCGGTAGCTGAAAAAGCCAACATATCAATTTCTCTGAATGTGTTAGGAAGGTAGATGAAATGTGTCAAAAAAATTAGGCTTGATAAAGAATAAATCCAAGGAAAAATATCCACTAATATGACTCCAAACAGTATACATGAAGGTGTCAGTAAGTCTTCCGTCATGCCATCGGATGCCCAAGGAATGCTTATATTTTTGCATGAATTAGACAGTAAATGCTTAATGTTGCTTCTGGGAATATTTGCTTAATTTTGGAAAGTGGATCAAAAGAAATATGATTCTATTATGCTATGTTGTCTTTGGAGAAAAATCAAGCTAATATGAATAAACAGTAAGAGTTGAAATGATCCTTGTCAATTTATAAATTTTGATATATGAATTTAAATCTACATATCCTTTTTCTCTTGGGTGCCATATATTTCCTTAAACTGTGATCTTGCATTTTCCTGCTAATTCCCAATTTAAACAGTTTGTAGGTCTGAAAAGTTTTATATAAGGGTGGGGGAACTGTTGTTCATTGTACAATGTGAGAGTCACTACTGCAGTTGTCACACTTTTAGACTGACAGATAATTCTGTATTATAATTGGAAATATAGGTATATTTCATAATTTGTTATAGTCTTTAGGCCTTTTTATGAGACTTCAAATGACATTCTAAATGTATCTCTATTTTTTTTTCTGTGTGTACTAGTAAAAAGATCTGTTATTCTCAAAAGTCTTAATTGATTTTATGTGATTGTGCAATTAAGATGAGTCCTTTTAAATTCTTTCAATATTAGAATTATATATAATATTTGCATTTTATTAATATTAATTGACTATGCTTAGCAGAATTAAAACATGAAAACATGGCTGTATATTTCCATGACATGGTCTCCAAAGGCTTTTCCATTCCTAGTGTGAACACTTGAAAACTAAGACCTAAGATGCCTTTAACAAGGGTGGACACTTGGCACCGTAGTTCAACTGCCTTTTGGGATACCTATATTCCATACGGGAGCATTTATTTCAAATCCCAGTCATTTTTCTTCCAATCCAGCCTCCTGCTAAAGCATTCTGGAAGGCTGCAGATAATGACTCAAATACTTGGGTTCCTGACACCCATGTGGCACAACCTGACTAATTCCAGGCTCATGGTTTTAACATGATGGGTCCCACCCTAGCTGTTTAGTGGCATTTTATTAGTGAACCAGTGAAGAAAAGATTCTCTCTTTCCCTTGCTTTCACTCTTGCTCTCTGTCTCTCTTTTTCCTCCCACCCTCTCTCCCACTCTCTTCCTTTCTAATTAGAAGCAAATAAATAATGTTAAACATGCTAGAATAATTCACTAAATTCACTTATAACAATAGTAGAGCTACAGGGATTATTCCTGGGTGATGATTCATGCTGTTTCTTTATCTTTCTAGCTCTGGTGTCTACTTTTAAGTATCTTTTTCAACAATTAATTTAACAAATTTTTATATTTAATACATAATTTATGAACAGTAATCTTCCCACTGGACACTTACCATTTTATTCTTGTTTTCATTATTGGCTCTCCTCATATTCTTTGTAGCTATTTATATATATTTTTTCTTAGTGTTTTTTTTTCTTTGCATATAGGCACACAAAATTCATACATATGTATGTGTGTGTGGTTTGTTTTTAAGTTCATACCTCGTGTTTCCAACTCTTGTCTTCTAAGGACTAGGAAGTAACTTAATCTTCTGTTCATTCTTTCCTTTCATTGGCAACCATTTTGTTTCACTGTTTTGAAGTGATGCAGTAAGAGAAAAATGGCTGCCTTTTGTTTATTTCCTTGTACATTAGCGTAATGACATCATCAAAGATATTAACTTGAATGTACATGTCTCTATGAGCCCGAAGTTATATTATAAACAAGGAACATTTTGTTTTTCTTTTTTTTCTAATGCCCTAAGGTTTTTTATGTTTAGCATAGCTACTGTGTGCAAAAGGAAAAATGAAATGAGCATACTGCAACACATGCAAAAGAGGTATCCTTTAAAATTTATATAAACATTTCTACAAATGTTAAGAAAAAACAAAAGAAGATATTTGACATGAAATAGTCTTGATCAATGCGAATCCCACAAATAATATCATAAGGAATGCTGTAGAATATATATTTAAAGACTGAACTATTTAACTATTTTGTTTTTTCTGGCTAAAACTTAATTTTAAAATTCCAATTGATTTTTTTTTTATTTTAATGGATGCTTTTTTACGCAGAAAGCAATTTTTAACAAAAGACTTAAATGCACTATCATGCAAATTTTTTGAAGATTAACTATTGCATATTTTACAAACACTATCAGATTATTGTATAAATCTATAAAAATCTATTTTCTGATTAAATGTATGATGCTCCTGGCTTTCAGTTCTGTGCACATTGTTATACTTTGCATGTATTTATCATTAGATTTTCACCAAGAATCACAAGCAATAAGCTATCAAATACTAATTAAATTTGAACTAATTATTACAGAGAAAGGATATAGACTTTTTATTCAGTTATAATAACAAAATGGCTTTCTATTTTGAAATGCATGCTGTTTTTACTTTTTGAGAAATAATTTTCAGTAATTAAGATATCTTAAGAAAAATTATCTAGGTTTGAATACATACTGTATACCTAGGCATATAAAATATATAAATGCAATGTTTATACATCAGAAATTTTCTATAAATATTGAGTAGTTATCTCTGAAACTACTTGTTAGCACTGAAATCAGATAAGGTAAAGCATCTGCTGTATTGAGGCAATCTGTCTAAAATAAGTTACTGCAATTTTAAGAATTAATATGAAGCATATGTCCTGGAGATCTTTAAATTGAAATCTTCATTGTTCTTTTAACTCAGCTGCTCTAGGAATGTGTCATCTTTTCATAGATAAGTTAATCACTCACATCACTTATATACATCAATTAAAATGACTCATCTTCCCATCTACCTTATCAAAAATAATTAGGATGCCTGCTTTAATTCATATATACTATCTTTTGCTGATTGAGACCTTAGCTGCAGAGTATTTGATGGAAACAACACATACACGTTTAGGAAAAACCTTAAGAAAAAGAGGCATCAGCAATCTAAAGGTTAAAATGATTTGCCAAATCATTCGTTAGGGAGACTCTGTAATGTCATTTGTAGGAAATGCTTCCAGAAATCATACAGCAGGAAATAGCTTTTTACAAGTTCTCCTTCCTTAAATTACTCAGGCTCTTATTAAAATAAGATCTAGCTAAGTTCTTTTGAATGCCTGCTTAAACATTTTCTATAATAATAATAAAAAAATATGTGTGAAAGGTTTTCCATAAGTTGTGCTGCATTAATGACTTGGAGCAGTTTCTTGATCTGTTATTCCTTCCTCCTAGTAGATCTCAGCTGATAAAAATATCCATAGACACAGTGAAGTCAGTGGCACGCCTGGCTTTCTCAGACAAAACTCCATGTGATCACATATAGGCAGCCTCAGAGAGGCTGATGCCGTGCAGCAAGCAGTAGGTAATGAGTCTTTGTGCAGAGTGAAGCTCTTGTCGCTGAACAATAAAGCATATGGTACCAGCAATAAAACACAGGGCTGGGAAATTTCAGAAGATTCCGCTGAACCAGGAGGAGCTGTACCGTCTGTGATACTGACACATTATAAAATGATAATCAATTTATTTTGGATTCTAATGAATACAGAGTGCATGGACTAAGACATCAGCTATTTGAACAGGTTGGTGATTTTGTAAATTACTCCAACACTTATTTGTATTTGATGGGATTTAAATTAGGTGGGCTGATGTGTGTTTTGCTTTAAACAAAAACTTTGAGAGGTATTTGTAGTGTGCGGTGTGATACATGCACTTGAATTGACCAAATATGATTAAATTGTTGATGTAGTCAGATCTAACACACAAATGCTGCTATCATTAAACTTAAAAATTATTCTTTTAAGCATGTATAACAAAAAAAATTCACTAATTTTTGTATTCTATGTGTACAAAAAATAACATAAGATAGAATATTATTAAGAAATATGTCAAATAAAGAGCTTCAAATTTATTTTTCAATATTAAAAATTCTGTATTGCACTAGTTTATATGTCTTATAAATTACATAATATATCATTCAGAATTCATTTATAGCTTTCAGTATATTGTAAAAGAAATGTTTGAAATAATTAAAAAACAAATTTTAAAATAAAAATTTTGAAATGTTAATATTGCTAGCCATTGGAAATTTATTTATAATTTAGTAAGCCTTATCTATGCCAATTTTTATGCATTTAATTAATTGTTTCTTTTATCCTTTGACAATGGAATAATTCTATTAAACCTTTTATTTTGTAGATACTATTCACTCAAATGGAGGAAAAATAGCTAATTTTAAAAATGAGTTGATTAATTATGTGGTGATGCAGGTTGCTATTTGTTTGCCATTTAGAAAAGAATATGTGCTTTTATGTATATCTACAAAAATCTTTATAAACATGACACTCCTTTATCTAATCTAGAAAACAGCCACTTCTTGGCTTTACGAGCAATAGAGAAGTTTATGTGTCAAATATAGCGATTGCTGCGTGTAGGAAGACAAGGGAAGAAATAACTCCAGCAAAGAACAGCATAACATTGAACATCTTTGCCAAAGACAGACAAGCCTTAGGGCTATAGGCATCCCCAGATTTACATGCGTAGTTTAACTTTGCTCTTCATTCTCACTGCTGTATTGTTTTAAAGGCAACCTGGGACCTAAATTCTTCACAATCAATTTTTTGGACACCATTTAGGATGATAGTCTCTAAGACACTAGGGTGCATTTAACATTTTACAGAATTGCTATAGTGACCTCATGTATTTGGATAGTGACTAATATAAATTTATGCCTGTAAGGTGCTGTTTAAACCACAACAAAAAGAATAGCCGTGTGTCTGATACATGCGATATGTATTTCAACTGCAAAAAAATAAATAAATAAATAAATAAAAATAAAAGAAAGCTATGTTTCAAAAACATGAGAAGTTAATGAAAAATTTAAACTGGACTGTCACACATATTTAAATGAAGTATTTGACTATTTGGGTTTCCTTGGTTACCATAGTCGCTGCCGATTGCTTCTTTTTGTGGGAGGGGGTAAGCAGCGAGAGGAGTACTCTAAAGCAGACGCTAAAATGGTTGATCCCTTAACCTGCTTGGGGAGAGGGGATGCTGACAGCCCAGGAAAGCGGCGCCCACTCCCCATCGCCGTTCCTTCTCTCCGGTGATTCAGGTACCCGGCAGAGCCGCAATTGCACAATCCCTTACCCAGCATTCCGTTTCAGCTGCTGGAGGATTGCCTGAGCTTTATGCAAACGAGACCAGCTCCGAGGCTTCGACTGCAGAAGGGGGGTGGGAGGGGGCGGGAAGCAGCAGGGAGTTCAAAGGTCACAGGGCTGGTGGAAAGCTGAGCAGTTGCCTGGAAAAAAATGTACAAGGCTCCTCTGCAGCAGTGTTTTGCAGCAGTTAAATGAAGTGGGCTTGATTTTAGAGGGTGAAGATTTTACAGCGTCGGTACGTAAGTCCTTCAAAGTACGTGTAGGTATGGTGACATTTCATGATGCGCGTGATTTTATTTATTAAAGACACTAGTGAGAATTGGCTGGTTTAATTCACTGTGGTAGTTGGCAATGTGTTCCTGGTTTTCAGAGTTCCATTAAATGTTTTATTTAATTTTCGTCTTAGTTTTTTTTGAAACATGAGTGTTTTGTTCCACTGGAGCAATTTCCGACGAGAACAAATTGGATTTGAGCTTCTAAATAATATTTTTATAAGTTTCTGATTGCAAAGAGATATCTGAGTTGCAACAACCAGGTGAATATCAAGACTTACAACTTTTATAGGATTTTCACATTTTTAAAGAAATGTGTTTTAACGAACTGGTTTGTTAGCCTGAGGTTTTTCTGAAGTATCTGGAGTTAAATAATGAAGTTCTTTTGTTTCTATGCCACACAACATCGTGAGGATAGTTTTAATAAGTTGTGCTTAATTCCATGTCAAGAAAAGGTTTGGATCTTGAGAGTTTTCATATTTTATGTCTTCTTAGAAAAATAATCACTCATTGTTTAGAGGCTAAAATTTTCATTGATTTGTCTTTTACTGTAAATTATTTGGGTGGAGGGGGAATTTTTCAATAGTGGTGTTTGAACTAGTTATATTCAACTTCCTATGGTGTTTCAGCTAAGTTGGATTATAAAGTGATCCTCATCAGTGTCACTGGCAGGACAAAGTCTTTCTCCTTGCAGTAGACATCACACTTGTAAAATGTGTGATTACATCATACCAGCCTGCTCTGCACCAAACAAATGTGTACTCACTTTGATTCTTCATGGCGCTTTTTAATTTCCAAAGCATTGCTTGGCCATCTCATCAAAAATGTAAATATGCCAATCCAACTGTTACAATGTAGATGGGAAAAAAGCAGTGTTTTTATTTGCCTCAACTGTGCATCTTACTACATTACGGATTGTATGTATACAAGATATATGGAAAACATGTAGAAGCAAGTTAGCATTTACTCATAAAGTTATTGCTTTATGATTTTGTTTTTGCATGACATTTAAAAATAAATTTTATGAAGCTTACAAAGAATTGTTATACATTTAGTTAACCTTAATTATTTTCTCTGTCCTGGGAAATGGGATTTAATTTTATTAAAATGATTATGATGCGCTTTTATATGAAAACATTAGGGGTCTTTAGGCAGGATCAAAACAGAAGGACAGTCACTTAGAACAGTGAAGGACAATTATCCCAAATATTGATAAATTCACTTTGTGGTGACTATCCAGGGCCAGATGCTCAGACTGTTATCACTTTGTGGAGGCATTATAACATTTTTTTTCTGGACCTTAAAGATTAAGAAAAAGAATTCATGTTTTGTATCAGCTTTTAAAAAATGCAATAACTGCCATTTTGTTTTCATCTTTCCTTTGAACTTTGAATGAATTCAGCTCAGGGGAACGTTTTTAAAATAATTTCTTCTTATGTTGGTTAAACCGTGAGATCCTCTGGTCCAAAATAATGTTTATATCCTTTTGTTTATATATGTACATATATATATGTGTGTGTATATATAATACACATGTATTATATACACATATACTATAATATTCTGTATTTTATGGTGTATATAATATTTGCATGCACATAAATACATATAGGTGGTTCATACAGCTAAATAAAATATCTCCAACTGGTTGGTCATATTTAATCCAACTATTGTTAATAGCTAAACTTTTACCTTTAATACGGGTAGTGACTGTAATTTTCATCTTTTTAGCCCTGTGTTGTAGACAGAAGGAAAGGGAAGTACCAAGTTCAACATTCATTTAGGCAGTGCATTACCTTGAAGTTCTCAAATGCATCTCAAATGCATCAGCAACCACATTGTGAATGCAAAACTGAAAACTCAGTGCAGGCCAGGAAGGGGAGCCCACCAAGAATCCTGAAGAAAGTGTGATAATCGACAAATGTGAAATAAAGAGAATTGTTGTACTTCTGTGAGCCACGAGAGAACTATATATGTCTTGCCACTAATTTACAGCTTTGAATATCCTGGATAATTTATGTCCCTATGCAAATACACTCAAAACTAGTCTTTTTTTGCATCAGCTTGAGCCATACTATTCCTATACAAATCTCAGCAGCATGTATATCAGTAATTTCTAATCTGGATATTTAAAAGTACATGGAAATATGTATTGTGTAAATACAATTCAAATCAAACTTGAAAAGTAAGTGAGTAAATAACCTAAAAAAGAATTATTAGTGCTATGCAGTTAGAATATTTAAAGAAGCAGTGTTATCATATTTCAAGAAATCTTTAAAGAGTCTTCAAAAATGAACTTCCTGCTTCCTAATTACCAATCTGTCTTTGTCATCATTGGAAACTGCAGACCATATTGTAGGATTGGAAAAGATTTTAGGACAAACATGTTGCACTCAGTTTAGCGGCATGGAGCGTAGTCTAGAACTGACAACCTGTCATTTCAAAATCACATATGTACAATGTATGTTTTATTATCACTGTATTTGTCCTTCCCCTAAAATCTTGGAGACTATGAAAGAGAAAGAACTAAATTACTTGTAATGTATAGGAAAAAGTGCTCAAAGTAAATATTGAGTATTCAAAACTACCATGTTTATTTTAACATTGCATTTTAAAGAAACAAACAGTTGCCTTTTTATTGCCTATTCTAGATTCCTAATATAATTGCAATAATTTATTAAAGTGTGTAAATACAACAAAAGTATAAAGTGTTTTGAAGATCTTGTTAGGCTTACAATAATGTTTCTCTCATACTCTATATAACATAAATCAATTTTTCCAATAGCTAAAGTTTATAACTTCAAAGGCTAGTTTTAAAAAAAAACTCATAATTTCTTGAGAAGTACACATCATTATGCCTTCTGGAGTTAAGAGGGAATCAGCCTGTAATTGTTATGTGTGATTCCAAGCTATATGATGGGGTGCGAAAATTGACAATGGGTTAGTTAAGAGCTAATGTTTAATTCCTAATTCTGGTGCCACTTTCAATGTGTGCTCTGTTGCTACATGCAATGCGGTTTAGACATGACAGTTAAAAGTCACAAGTATCATCTTCTTCACCTGAAAGGTAGTAATAGTTTCTGAATTGATGAATATTTTATAAATATAAAATGTTGTAATACAGTGTATACAATAGAATATTATTCAGTC